GTGGTAAATGAGTAAGTGAGTGATGGATTAAAATCTAGACATTAAAAATCAGAAAAAATATATATTTACTTAATATAATTCGCGCTGGTTCATTCTCTAACCCTATGAGTTTCTCAGTAAAATTTTAGTATATATAAATATATAAATAAAGTGAATTATCAAAGCTTATTTCACTTATGTGGGGAAATTACTTAAATGATAAGCACAGGACGCCCTGACTGTAAAACTTGGCTCCAAGTTACACCCCATATATATAAATATATATAAATACATAAAATGGCGCCGAAAGCTTTTACAGTTTGGCGCCATTCACTATCTAGTTTTGCCCTCACAAGTAATGACACCTGGCACCAAATGGGTGCCATTTAATGGCGACAGAAAATGAGACAAAAGATTTTTGGTTGGTTGGGTATATGTATGTGAGTGAGTCTGTTTGTGTAAAGTGGGGAGGGGGGAGAGAATAAGTGGTAATGTTGACAAAAACTAAATATATAGAATAGCAACAAAATACTTAAAAATCCACATTAATATTAGCACAATAAATTGTACATTATATATATATATGATAGTTTTAAAAAAAGCAGTGAGAAAATTTCTGTTATATTATAAACAACACATAATTTGACATTGAAATTTATGTAACATACTTAATACGATATATGCCTGTCCGCATGTGCAATTATATATATATATATATATATATATATATATATATATATAATGTCACAAAAATTTTGACATTATTTCAAGTCAATTTTTAAATAGTTACAATACAGTACACACATACTGAATTCGAGTGTTTACTGTATAATTTAAAGTAATTTTTAAATATCCCACATTATTGCTCCATACATACACACAGTTAAAAAACCAAATATATAAAGTAATAAACGATATATATTGGGGCTCTTGGTTTGAATACTGTGAGAAATTCAAACAGTAGGCTTCATATGTTCGGTTTATACTTGAATATCAATTATTTTTCTATTTAAAAAAAAGAAGCAACTTTTTTGCAAAATTTGTGTTTGCAGAGAATTGTCTCATGTGCGTGTGTATGTGTATTTATTTATCCAACTACGTATCTAAGTAACTTATTCCCATATATATATATATATATATATATATATATATATATAGAGAGAGAGAGAGAGAGACTAATTACGAGATAAGCAATCCTTCTCAGACTTTAGAAATGCAAACTTAATTACAGGCACTTAACAAACATAACTAAGTTACTTGTTACTAGTACTACCACTATTACTACTGGAGTAATTATGAATATTATAACTAAATTGAATTATATGGAAACAATGAAAAAGACGGCAAAGGATAATCTCAAGAGTGTAAGTAGTAAAATCTGTAACACCAGCAAATCAAAATGATGAGCAACAATCACGAGCCAATCGGATTGAAATATCATAATTTCAAAAGATTAGGAATTCTTCACAGAGGTCAAATACTATGGGTTTAAATCCGAGACAAACTACAAATGAGTATTGAGAAAAGAAAACACAGACTAGATAGGAATAAAAATACTTTAAATATAAGTGACCAACATGTTCATCAACATTACTATCTATCGTATAATTTAGGAGTGACGTAAACTAATTCCAGTCAGTTAGTTGGTTACAACGTAGGACCAGGCATATTTAGGCATTGGTTCAAGTTGCCACACCTAATTAGCACAACTAGATGAACAAATTCATAGTAGTTACTTCAATGATAGTAATATACATTTTAAAAAAATGTGTATAAGGATATAATACAGGAAGAAAGAATTACAAAGATATAATTTTAATTTCACAATTTAAGGGAAGACAAAGAGTGCAAACACCTACACCATTGCGATCGATTCTGAGCCACGTAATCCAGAGTCTCCAACCATTGGTTGCGTTAGCCGCGCGGAACCCAACTAAGTAATCTGCATCTATCGACACGAGTCAGACCAGAAGTTAATGACTTTATGAACTGATTCCGTTTTTGTTTGGTTGCCCCTAACTTTTTTCCAACAGTCTCTAACACTAGTCAGTATTGCGCGTCGTGGTAATCGGTGATTCGGCATGTGTAATATGTGACCTAACCATCTCAGCCCATATAGATTCACAACCTAACCAACTGATTTACCATTATTCCCTAATACCCTGCGTCTAACCTCACTACTACTTACCCAGTGATCCCAGCAGATGTCAGCAATATTTTTGAGACATCTGTAAACAAATACTAGTAACTTACAAGTATTCTCTACCATTAATTACCATATTTCGCAGTTATAAAGTAAAACAGGACGAACTGTCGCGCTGTATACCCATCCTTTAACTGATAGAAGGATATCTCGCCTTTACCATATGTGACGTAAGTTGGAAAAAGCCAAACGAGCTTTCTGAATCCGTGCTGAGATTTCGTCAGATACCAACCCATTAGTGCTCAACAGACTTCCAAGATAAGTGAAGTTGTCGACGCGTTCAACTATTTTACTCCCTATCCTTAGTTCAGATGTTGGGGCAGTGCAGTCCTGAAGCAAACATTTGCGTTTAGAGGTGTAGAAACACATCTCAATCATCCTGGCATTGTTGCTCAGGGCTACCAAAACACTCTGTATTTTATCAGCGTCTTCACCAAACAGGACTATGTCATCTGCGTATTTTATTATCAATCAACAACTTACATTTTGAAAAAAGAGGAATGCAAACATAATATCTTTGCATTGTTAACTGAAGTATTCACAAGACTGTGTTTTGCCATTGCCTATAACCAGATTTCCTGCATACTTCAACTCAACAAAAGAAATCTTTAAATAACAAATCATTCAATCGTTGAAAATTCGAACGAATAACATCATGAACAAACATTAATACTTGTAAGAAAATCTAGTGAACATATAGATTCAAGGTTATTCATACTTTATGTTGTTTACTTTTTAAAACTTAACATTTATATAATACACTGAGATAATTGTAAACATAAATTAGTACGACAATTGATTAGTTAAGCTACTATGTCTTTATGTTTATTATTTAAACAAAATATTTACATTTATGCATTTGTTTTGTTCTGTTCACGGTTAAATTTTGAAACAAGTATCAAAATGAAGACAATGAGACCTTAAGCTTTCAACACAAAAGATTTATTATGAATAATTTGTTAAAAGTGAACAATCATAGAAAAAGACTTTGAAATGGAATGTCTAACATTTGCGTAACAGTCAAATGTTCAAAATTTCATTATATGAAGAAAATTGAGAAAAATAAAAACAACAAAACAGTTAGATAATAATAATTTAACACTGATGAGTCCATAAGAAACAGGACACAACATTAATAAACCAAGGTACCTAAGAGAAGAACAACAAACAGATTCATCTTTATTGCTTTGATAAACATTGAATCATGAACCAAGATTCGGAAGATTTAGTCATTGATACTCGCTGGCTAAATTAGTCTATGAACTCAACTTTTACCTATTAGACCACTGATGAATTAAACCACACTTCACTCATCCCAGTTGAGTGATTGAATAGTGGTAACGTTAGTTTTTAAACATGAAAAGTATAAATCAAAACTGAGTATATCAATCTATAATTGAATGGTAAAATTCAATAAAAGATACTAATGATGAAATAAACAAAATAAATTGCAATAGTGAAATTCATTTAAATTTTATTAACTGTAAAGCATTTCCTGATACAACTCCGCCTGGAGAACAACAAAAGCCATCATCCAGAAGATACAGGTGTTTATTAACAGTTGTCTACGCAAAATACTTCGGATCCGTTGGCCAGACACTATTAGCAACAACCTACTGTGGGAGAGAACAAACCAGATCCCAGTGGAGGAAGAAATCAGGAAAAAGCGCTGGAAGTGGATAGGACACACATTGAGAAAAGCACCCAACTGCGTCACAAGGCAAGCCCTCACATGGAATCCTCAGGGCCAAAGGAAAAGAGGAAGACCAAAGAACACAATACGCCGGGAAATGGAGACAGACATGAGAAAAATGAACGGGAATTGGATGGAACTAGAAAAGAAGGCACAGGACGGAGTGGGATGGAGAAAGCTGGTCAGCAGCCTATGCTCCATTAGGAGTAACAGGCGTAAGTAAGTAAAGTAAGTAATTTCCTGATACACAACCAATCATCATTTTACGTTAAAGTAAAACAAAAAAATAAAAAATATATGAGGCTGAAATATTTTAGTGAAAGTTTATTTTGAAAATAGAGTAGCAAGTTTGAAATTTTCTGTTAACAAAATCAACATACGGTTGCATATGCATTAATATTTTCTTTACAAATAAGTATAATAATACAAATTGTCAGCATTCATGTGTACAGACTATTCATGATCATTTTCGTTGTATAGTATTTTATTTTATTTTTATTTTAACACATAGATATCGGTACAAGAAGGCACCAAATACATATGCGCCACACAGATCTCATTAGATATGTGTGAGGGCTGTGTATAGAAATGTTTCAAGATATCATTCACTGTTGTCAAGTATATCTATTTATACCATAAACTCAAGGTTATTTATAAATCTCTAGTAAAGTATGAATCAACTAGTTGAATTTGATCTTCTTCCAAGAAATGTAATCAATTAATAGAATAGTATATGTGAAAATTATATTTAAAATAATCTCAGCGACTGAAATTTGAATAATTCTAACGTTTCGTCCAGTACACTTGTCCGAACTTCTTCAGGGTAATCTTGATCGTTGAGATTATTTCAAATATAATTTTCACATATAATGTTTTCTCTATACTCGGCGCCCAATTTCTGTTAAACTATTCGTTCTAATAGTGACGAATATTCGTATAAATTAATAAAATATACTGATACTTTTTTTAAAAATTTATGATCTAAATCCTGAGCTTGTGAAATATGCATTTATTTCGGATGTGCCTTTAGTGCTGGTAAAATTCAATAGCTGTTAGATTAAGTAACATTCAACGTCGTGCTGATATATATATAGCTTTATAGTACACAAAATAAAGACTAATTACCTGGATCTGAAGAATATCTTGAGCAGTTAATTTTTTCATTAATTTTATCTTGAATAAGTATTCGACTCCAGTGATAGGGATTTAAACAAATTTGTGAGTTTGCATGCTTTTCTGAAAACTGACAAGGTCCAATCCGTCTGTATGGGATGAAAAAAAAAGAAGTTGAAATTAACTTCCGACGAAATAAGTTGGTGTATTATTATGAAACTAAAAGGATAGCAACTTTCACATTACTCAATCGATATATTGAGTCATGGACAACCCGAAATGTATGCTTTTGAATTAAAATATTTTTACAATCGTTGAAAAGCAACAAGTGAAATTTTACTAGACAGTAAATTGTAAAATTTTATTGCAACAACATATTGATAGTAACGAATTAGATATAATGCTAACTAAAAAATGGTCAGGTGGCATAACAGGATTCAAACATACTCGTAGTTTACATAACGAATTGTCCTGTATAATAACTATGCAAACCTGTTTACAAAGTAACTGAGTCACCTAAGTTTCTTGATTTTTTAAAATAAATTATCGTTACAGTGTTTTTGTTTTAAGAATCTTTGGAATACAAAAAAGCAGTTCGTTCATAATGATGTACTTAAGTTGCAAATTGATATATTAACACGGCGAGATTATGCACTGGTCGCAAACAACATACATATATTTATTAAAACTGGTACACCTGGTCGTGGAAATTTATGGTTAATGTATAGCACATTATGAATCAATGATATTAAAGTCAATAAATACCTAATGGTAAAACAATACATTTATTTCATGAATATAACTGTGAAGAAAACAATAAACTGAGTGAGAAACAGAACCTGGTATATTATTCAATCAGAACGATTTACAAAACTCTAAGCACCACAATAAGAGAAATTTTAAAATAAGGGTAAGTCATAAAATTAGATTAGGCAACGAGAAGTAGGTACAAGACACTAGCAAATTAAACATCGAGAGTAAAATAAAAGATATGTCACTGGCACTTGTTCACCACTGCATTGATTCGGTTCATTAAACTCAGGTCTCCACTAACTCAAAGATGCTATACGAACGGTTCGAGCTCGTATAAAACATTCATATTTATGGTCATGGACTCTAAACATAAACAAAGAAATTGATTTAGACGATATTAACGAGTTGATGACAAATACATGCTTTGTTGCATGTTACAGTAGGTCGTAACAAATTTATATGTAATTTTTTCCTTGAACCAGAAAATACACTCATATCAAAGCAAAGCTGTAGTTTAGGGGTTTCAAAACTTGTCATAAGTTTTAGTTTCAAACGCCTCTCCAACTCATTGTGTATCTAACCCTTAGAAAACAGGTTTGCTCCACCCTACAGTATGATTCCGTAATGACGGAGCAATGATATTAACATAGTGCTTATTCCCAAAAAAAATCATAAACGTACAGCTGGACAGAATACAGTGATGATAAGCTAGAGAATATTTCACTAATATAGAAAAAAGTGGTTTTCCGATCAAATGCTATCAGAGTAACACAAATAAATCCTATATGCATTAGTTTAATTACGCTACAGAAATCATAAAGGGTTTGGTTTTGTATACCAAAACTTAATTTATTCGCACTCAACTAAAATCATTCACATCGAGATCGTTAGTAAGATAGCTAAATTAAACGAGCTGAATATATACGTCTTTAGAATTATGGCAACATAATGAAACATAGTTTATAAATTAAATGATAGAAAAAAACTCCATTAGACGCCATCACAGATAGAGAGTTTGGCACTAGTTGTACTAAACATTAATTAAAATTGGTTATGATGTAAACTACTATGGTTTCATTTATTATGCGCTTTTCCAACTTGTTCTTTTAGCAAACAAACTACAACTTATTCAATAATAAAAGATGTGACTTTATTCACATATACAAGAAGCATACGTGCACACACATGTACACCCCCGAAGCAGACACAATCCTATAATGGAAAGAAATTCAGTTAGTTTTCGGATTAGAATACATTAAGGTCTTTTACAGGCGCCAGAGCTGATATATATATATATATATATATATATATATATATATATATATATACGCGTATATAATCCACATGGAATCATTCAAATAGCAAAATGCAAAAACTGAAGTTCGATTTTAATCTGAAACAGCACACAGAAAAATTCGTTTAATTGCACTACGTCCGAAATAATTACCTGTCTAAGAGGAACATGTTTTTCTTCTATCTCTTTTAATATCAAGCAAATTGTAAATGGTGATAAAAGATTTGTTTGCGCCGATATTTACACATATAATCCCATAAGTAGATACTAGGTGGGCGACACAATAAATGATCAGTCTAGAATGGCGGCAAATGGATTTCCAAACGCCACCAGAAAGCGGGAGTCAAACCAAAGCTACCTGAGTCGTCACCCATCCTAGTTCTGCCGATAATTTTTGAGCACATTTCTACACTGTATATAAACTAAGCAGCTGTTGAAACGATAACTAGTTTTATATTTAAGCGAAGTAGCTTTCAAGAATTTTTCTATGATCAGTCATTATTTGCTCTAATAAAATAATAACCATTTCATATATTCTGGTAATTTTTTTCAACAACGAAAAACTAAATAAATCTAGGAAATATATATACATACAAACATCCGTACACATATAAATGTATGTGAATCAGCGATAATCAAAAGGTGGACTAGTTCGAATATCTACTCATATTGATAGTAAGACTAATAACGGTCGAAGTGGAATAGTAAATTTGACTAATGTAATAACTGGTTTGAATACTTGAGTAGTAATTAATCGTTTGTTTGTTAAAATACTGGTTCACCTAATTGGATACAAGCAGCTAATTTAAATCTGTAAACAAGGTTTGTCTATTCGCTTTAGCAATATGCGCCATTGTATAAGGACCACCAAAACTAACCGGTTGCCCGAAATGAAGGTAAGAGATTTCAAATCTACAACCAAGCAGTCGAAATTTAATAACTAATCGAGGAAACTATACATGCAGTAAACGAGAACTCAGATGGAGTTAACCGATTTATTGTTTAATGCAAAATTGGAGTGCTTTCGTAAAATATGAAAGTCATACATTAAATACATTATTTTCAGGTTTTCTTTCGATTGTCCTTTACATGCTCCATGGTTCTTCCAATTCTGTCGTTATTGTTATTGATCTCTTTCTCTTTCTGCTCTCTTTAATTCAATCTTCTCAATCTTCTGCTCGAGGGCATTCCATATCCAATTGCTGCTACATACTATTTATATCTGACAATTTAGGTTGCATGTACCACAAACACATTAAGTGAGGCTTAAACTTTACTCCCAAAATCAGCATATGAAGACTAAATTATAAATGTTACATCTGATTTTTTTCAAGCTACGAAGGAAAATACCAAGCTAATCAAATTTTTTATCTAGTAAACAGAAACACTAAATTTAACATAGTTAATCGAGAAAATGCTTTTCTTACATGTGGCTTTAACACGCACGGATGAAATTATCAAATAAATGTTCCGCCGTCAAAATATAACTATGCAAACTGTCTTCATTTAGTCCATGAATAACAAATTTTCATTCTACACAAAATAGAGACAATTTATTTTTAAGTATTTTGTCTGGAAGAATATTTACACTTGTAAGTGCGACTGCATACATTACCGGAAACTCAAGAAGGTGAATATTTTGGACACTCTATTTACTAGAATTTTATGTATGAGTGTACGAAGCCGTATGATTAAAACGTCTTGTGAAATATAATACGTATCAATCCAATGATGAAAAAATTGTCATAACGACTTTATTCTGTTGAAGCAAGCTAGAAAATGAGACTAAGGTGATGTATATAGGACCAGTTAACCCGTTTTAAATCAGGCTTATGTATTTAAACCATGAACCGAACAATGTTAGACCACTATAGAAAACCTGGAATAACTGGATGGTCGCTTCATTCTAGAATGAGAATCTTCAACCGTGCGCATCCAGGATCCCGCACGCGAGACTCCAATTTAGGTTCTTCGATTTTATGCGCGAGCGCTTAACCTCTAGACTATTGAGCTGGCATTGAACGGTGTTACTGTCTAAATTCAACTAATCCACAATACTGCTTCACATATAACACAGATTAGCTCCACTGGTTATGGCTTCTCACTAGAACTTTGAGAATTACCTCTTGAAGCTAATCACTGGTGGGCACATAATAATTTTCAGTGTATAGTTGAGGATATTCTTGAATTTCATTGTGCTCACTAATGAATAGCTTTGACAGCTGATTCTAGTGAGATGACATGACTAGTGGAGCTTAACTGTGTAAGTTGTGAAGCAACTAACCACCGAAGACGATGGAGGATGGTCACGTAGAGTGTAGTTAAGAATTCGCCCCCAAATGCCCTGGTACGGCCGAGAGTGGGGAGAGTCCGCTCTCCCTCTCGAAATGCTCTCACATGGCCACGCGTACATAGCCCCTGCCAGGGAAGTCCTACTCAATGCCTTCTCGTGGCATTACTGTTGTTTACGAAAATCAGAGGACGAACAACGAATGTCCGGCGCTTTAACCGGATCCCAAATCAATGGTGTACATGGGCCGGCTCCAGTATCCTGAAGGAACAAATGGCGCATGAACCAATAGTTGGTCACCGGCTACCATGGGACTGCATCTCCTCACGATGCTCCACTGCCTTGTGGATCAGACGTTCAGGTCAAAGGCTCGGGGTGTGGCTCCCTAAGAAAACCCCCTGCTTCGGTTTGGGCACCCGAGCAGTATCACAGCCCTCACACAAATCAATTGAGATTCGTGTGGCGCATATGTACTTGGTGCCTCCTTGTACCAATACCTATGTGTTAAATAAAATAAAATAAATAAATAGTTAAGAATTCGCTATAAGAACCACATATACTAGTGGTCTACGTCAATTAACGAAATGGAAATTAGATCCAAATTTTGAGTTGAATGAACAAAAGTAGGGTTTAGACTATTAAGCTCCAGCTCCATAGAAAGCTATCTAAGTAACCTCTTTAATTATGTCAATGAGAGGTCACCATTAGTAAGTAATGTGTAAAAGTCATGTAGAAACTGGACACTATGAGTCAGCTTGCAGGATTATTCTACTATGCTGGAAGCATTCAACGAAGGTCCAATTAAGAGTGTCTTGAAATAATAAAAATCTAAAACATCTGTTTTTACCTGACTTCATCTACTCTAGAAGAAAACAAACCAGCTTTCAGCCGAGAAAACTCGGAAAAAGCGCTGGAGGTGGATACGATACTCATTACGAAAATCATCAATCTGCAATATAAAGCAACTTGGAATCATCAAAGCAAAAGAAAAATAGAAGGACCAAAGAACACATTGTGCTGGGAACCGGAAGCAAACATCAAGAAAATAAATAGCACTTGAGAAATAACAGAAAGGAGGCCAATGAAGAGTAAGTTTTGAGATTACTGGTTGACAGCCTGTGCTCTATGAGGGGTTACAGTCGTAATTGAGTAAGCTATTTATTCATGTCCTTTTTTATTTTGATCCCAAATACTGATTTTAAGACAAAACGCACTTCTAACAGCGGTAAGTTACAAAATTGTTCAAGGTAATCATTCAATATAATCAGTGTTATAAAAGTCTTTACGGAAGGTGGGGTAGTGGCTTACTGGTTATAATACGTAACAACTTCTAGGTTACAATTTGAAACCTGGACGTGCATAACTTAGTTCAGATACTGAGACGGTGTCAACAGCTTCTACACAAAAAGAACTAACCAAAAGTTAGTAAATGAAATTATACTTGGCTACTGAGATGGATTAAATTCTTCGGAGTGTTTTCTAATTGATCTCCAAGTGCCACTATTAATCGACTGTGAAGAAAGATCAATCGCTAGACAAATGACTTAAATACTTCTGAATTTGTGTATTACACTATACCGCTGACAACCACCTTTACTCCTAGAATATTGTAAATCACATGAAAGCGCCCATGCATGTTGAGGAGTTATGTAAAATATTCGTTTCTATTACAGCAAACATCGTAAATGTACTCTTGATCCCTTACAGAATATAAGATTCTGTACTACAAAACAGTATTCTATGTATTCAATTGAAAAAAATTTCAGATCAATAACAATGTGTCTATTTTAATTTTTCTTACGGTAGTAAGCTAATATGTACGGAAAGACTAACTAGGAACTGAGCTGAATGTCTCCAGCACCAGTTTACAGTTAGGTAAGAACATAATAATGACTTAAGACTAGTTGAGCTATTTGGGTCGAGATCCTCAGTCTTTCTGGAGCACCAGCCACAAGTCTTTAGTTGAGTAGTTATCACTACTAGTGAATAGGAGCATAAAAAGTGGAAATCGCCTCAGTATAACATCCTTTGAAGATCTTGTCGATAACACGACTTATTACCCTAGTTGAAACATTTTAGAATATGGAAATTGCATATATTGGGATGCAAATCATTCTAAGTTTAGCCATAGAAGCTTAAACCACGGCACTTTGGAATCAATGACGAGTAAAGTCCATGAGTCTTTGTTTATTATTAACATAAAATTCTCGAAACACAGAGGGAAAACAACTTTTTTACGTTAAATTACTGACAAATCACTAGAAATAAGTCATTTAACCTTAATAAAAGAGTGGTTTTACCCATCAAAAAGTCTAGTTTCTAGCACAATAAAGTATGATGCAGTCATCAAGTTAGATACAAAGAGTTGACTAACACAAATACTTAAGGTCAGTGAAATTAGTTGACAAAACATTATCAGGCGCAGCAAATTAAAGCATAACCTGAAGAAGTACAGGTGTTTTAAATCACTCTAAATGTCTCAAATCTACTATTTCTATTACTAATTGAGTGTCAAAAGTTCAGTACTTGTAGGAGGTTTTCGACATGCAGCTTACTTGGAGACAATCAAGTGATTCAACTATCAAAATATGACTTTACTGTTGGTATTTTGGTATTTAAGAGTTGGTTTTGGCCTAAAAGCGCCTTATTGTAACGCAACTCGTGATACTCAACTGACAAAGAAAACCGAAATCCGCGAGGAAATATACAAAAGAGGAAATTTACCTGAGGTAATCACCCGGGCTTAAGTCCTTCCATCTCCACGCTTTGCAAACAGCAAGCAAAAGGTCAATACAAAATAAGGTCTTTGAAACACAGTTATTAGATGGAGAGTTGTTTTTAGTCCGTTTCGACCTGAAAGACCCACACTGTGAACACGTTAGGCCGACTACGTACCTCGAACATGGATATAAAGAACGAAAATTACGAATGACGCATTTATTGCATTTCTCCATTGATTCCTCAGGTTGTTCGCAACTGTGTACACAATCAGAAAGCTCCACCGAGTCATTTTTGAAATTCACTGATTTCGGAAAATTGGATGGATTTTTCACAAGACAATAATAACCTTCACGGCCTAACTTTAATGCTTTATCTAAAGCAAGAATATCTTCTGATGACAAAGTACACACAAATGTATTAATTATGTGGAAAAGCGATAAATTCCCCGAAAATATTGGAAATTCCTGATAATGTTGTAATCCGTTACTAGACTCGTTTGACTGCAGCTTAAACAAATGTTCAGGACTTTCTGCATACAAATTGTGGATAAAAGAGTCAGTGAACTTGTGCTTGCTCAACAAACATTTTAAGAAAAATAATAAAGCCTTTTCAACGGAATCTGGATACTCTTGACTTATCAGGACTTCATCGGTGGCTATTCCAACAACCGTAGATAAATTATTTAGAACTATTGCCTGGACAGTGACTGAATCAGTAACAAGAGACATTATCCTTTCTCTTGCTTTACTAACACGTCTAAACTTGACAATTTTACGGATCATCAACTGACTATGTTTTCATGTTACGAACATGCGAACCATCTTAACGTCGGAATAACATTCATCAAACCCAGCGCATTTCTTGTGACCCAAAAGTGCTGAACTAAAAGGCTCAACTAAACAAAGTCAAAAGTAAGTCAGAGCCACTTATCAAGTAGTGACTGGAAAAATTACAAAATATTTTTCATATCATTAAAACTAGTCTATATAAAAATTGGAATTAGCAAGGATCACTTTCCATAATAAGAAATTATAAACGTAGCAAACGAAAGTTTGCGAGTGACGTTCTCATTATAATCCTAATGAGGGGATGTATTTTCGTGCATTTTCCAGCTATATGATGTTTTGTCACCTGTTTTTAAAGCTGTTCTAAAGTCTACAATAAAGGAAAGCTGTCTCATACAAGTAGTATATGAATAGAGTTAGCAATATTTGAGTAATAAATTAATCCTCGTTAAGATAATTCGATGAATATATTAACGTATCGACAGTTTAAGTATAATACGCAAAATTTAATAGTTGAAGTACAGAAACTGCTGAATTTCTCCGTTCCTACCACAATTTCGTTTTCACGAATATCATGAGAAAGTTAAAGGCGATGATGCTATTAAAATATATACGTATTATTATTCTTTACAATCTTCACTTATTTTTCCACATTATTGTGTAACCTTTCAGATAATATTATTATTTGGGGGGTGGAAGACAAACTTTAGATATCTTGCCAACAACAATGCACCAAAAACAAGTCATTTAAAAAATTATAATAATCACTGTTGCATCAATAACCATGTCAAAGGTTGAACAATGAGTTAATTTAATAATTTTCTGACGTGGTTGGATACGAAGTATCCAAATAATGTGAGTGGACCCAGAATAAAAGGCACACTGTAGGCTCAGGTAATCAATGGGATAAACTAAAAAAATTAAATCTTCAGATCAGTACATATCGTTCTCAACATCAAATGAAACATTTCTTTTACTCTCATAAAATTCAAGGGTTTTTGTAAAAGGTAAGCGACTGAGTACGGTCCAAAATTTAAGTGTGATAGAATAGCAATCGTATTTTGCAAATATTAGTCGTTGGCGGAAACGGTATGGTGGTCTATTAATCACACCGTCGGTCTTAGTAAGCGTTTATACCAAAAAGATTGTATTGTGGTATCCGATAATACTCATATGACGAAGTAACTTTCAGGAGCATTTTATGACTTGATGCTACAATGTGTCACACTCTAAGGCATATCGACTTAATATGCTTTTAGACAAGGTGTATTGTGTGCCGTAGTGTCAACACCACTTCAATTATAATGTTTTAACAAATATTCGTTTTGAATTGTTCCGTATACTTTTATGGATTTGCAGACAGATCACTTGAATACTGATAAAATTTGCACTCACGTATAATGTTTCGCTGTTTTGAATTACTTAGACATGCCAAAAAACTATGTATGCATATATCAATTATTTTGAACTAACTATTCCGAAATACAGATATGAGTGGATTGGAATTACCTGAATGTTAATAAATTCGAGATATGAAAATTAGTAGACTAGAAGTCAATAAAGCAGAAAACACTCATTGTAGTACATGGTAGCATTCGTTTTTTTGTGATAAACCATAGTCAAGCAGCTTCCATAAGTAAGGTAAGTCATCTATGTGAAGTGAGAATTAAAACAGAAACAACCAGCTTAAAAACGGAAAATAAAGGGACAGTGAACAATAAAAACATAGAGTTTGATGAAGAAAAAATGAGTGTAGGTTCAACGATGCAACAGGCCGAGGTTAAAGGGAGAGAAGAATTCATGCAATGTATTGGTTATTTATACAAATATATGAATGAATTTGATAGTTAAATTCGTTTGTGATCAATCAGCAATTTGTTTAGACATGGATATATATGAACGCTTGTCCATAAGGAAGTGTGGTTGTCCATGATCTTTACGAGGGTCGGTGAACTGTTTGGCATCCAGTAACACAGCTGCTGATAATTTAAATAGGGCTCCATGACACCTCACTGACCCGACAACTCTACTTAAAATGGTTTTTTGGAGTTCATCAGGATAATAAACTGATACTGAAACCTTTATATAAATATTTTAATGTCTATGACTTTGAAACAAAATAAGATTGAATAATACTATGTGTGCAGCACATGAATATCAAAGTAGACCAGTTGAGATTGCACAATGTGTAATAAAATTGTGACCGGAGAAAAATTAATTTCTACTCGCAATAATCTAGAGTGGAAGAAATTATATTCTGAGCAAAAGTCGGGATACATGCAGATAAAATGATAAAAAAAGCGTCGATTAAGGCCAGTATGAAATCTATGTAAAACATTGACTTTATTAGTTTAGTTAAGAGTAATACTATGTACGATGATCATAATTCGCATAACATCACTTTAAGACAACTAGAGAAAAGAACTGTAATGGCATAAGATCATAATCACACAATCCTCAAAGTTGAACACGAAACTACTCGGAAAATAGATATTCAATATTTAGCGCGGAGAAATACCTAACAATGGACAAGGCGGGGATAATAATTTTGAATAAGTTGGAGTTGACCGTATGGCATGGCTTGGCCATGCAGGCGTGGTCCCTGCTTAATGTTACGTTATGTCTTTTATTCATATTAAATATATTGTTCCATCTCTAACCTAAGATTGTTCTATATCATGTATTGGTAATTGTTACGACGCAGTGAGTTGGTGTAGATGATGATGTGATTTCCACGTAAGATCTTATAGATTAGGCAGTTATATCATGACAAATCTACAATTTTAGGATTAGGTCTATTATTAGAGCAGTACAAATATCATAGTAGACCATAATTCTACATTGGTGAGCCCGGCTAAACAAACGAAGCCTCCTTTTATTGTTAATCCGTATCTCCTATCGATATTTACTTATGTAAACCCAATATTCTAATAGTCCTCTGATTAATGCTTACATGTATTATTGTAATGTTATATATGACTAGTTCTCATAACTAACTAGCTCAATCAATAATAAAAATTGGTCATCTACATTGACTAATTAGCTTTGATGGTTCGTTAACAAGCTTTAATAGCATTAACATGCTTCAGCGAAACAAACTTGTTTTAACACCAAGCTCTAGCAAATATGACTTGCGAATAACCCAATTATACATTAAATGACAATGCAATCAAGGACTAAAGTTATCTGGATCTAATTCTTAGTGTTCCTTCACTTACCACATTCTGTTTCAAACTATGCACTATCCTTTAATATCTTTTCTTCCGACCACTGCCTGCCTAATTTCATATCCTCGAGTTCCATTGCCAAACAACAAGGATAACACAACCACAAAAACATACGCGGGTGACAAAAACGTCAGCGGAACCAAGAACCCCGAAATCAATTGCCATACTGCATGTTTTATTCTGGATGCATTTGGATCAATATTACTCCTCACGAATGGCGATACATACGTCGTCTACTTAATAATCTAATTTTCAAAAATAATCCAGGCGAGTTTAACTATTTTACTGGATGGTTTCTTGTGCTAAACATGTGTATATTTTCTAGTTGCTAAATCCAGAAACTTCTTATTGAAAGTGTACAAAGCGTCATTCCTGCCTGAAGTTTCATAAGTAGCTTTAACTTTAAAATTGCTTTTCTTGCCATGTTTATTATTTTTAAATTGTCATATACCTCAACAACATGCATGTTAACCTGCCTCGTAAATGCGTTGCATCATAACTCTTTGTATTTTAAATTTAAAAATCATTTGAATCGCCTGTAACACCTTCAATAAACCCGTCGTAGTCATTATTGATATACGGTTTTGGGTTTATGGATTGGTCTATCATATTAGTAGCCTAGAAACACGAACAAAGTTTAGATAATAAAGTTAAAAAATTGAGTACTAGCATACTGCCTTAGTATAATAACTAAACTACCAGATAGTCGTTGGCCTAGCAAATATTTAGAATTAAAACTCCTGAGCCTACTACTAAAATCAAAACTATACAAAACGAATGTTTTCAAATTGCGATTTATACTATAATTAGGTTTCTCGGATTCTTTAACGCGACAAACTTATGCTATTTCAGAAGCACATAAAAGAACAATCCCTATTTTCAACTGGCTACTCCTCAATTAACACTATAAATAATTAAAAATAATGGTTTCAGGGTATCGTCATAAAGCATTGTCATGACTTGACAATCACGTAATATGACTGGTCAAATTGGAAACTAACAAAATTAGTCAACAAACTGACTTGTAATTATCATTAGATAGTGTTGTTTTCTCGGTATCTTCATCCATTGTAGATGATTTCAGTATGTTTCCCTAGCAGTTGCTCATTCGATAAATATCTCAAAACCTTGTCAGTCTAATTGGAGGTTTAGTGACACAATCATGCATGCAAATAATCAGTATAAGCAGTCGAGCAAATCTCCTGCAAACTGAAAACATCAATGTCGAATTTACCCCAACATTGACTAAAATTCAAGCCATTATCATAGACATGAGTTGGGAGTGTACTCCCCTTGGTTACAACTTATGTTCTCCCTGGTGATCACATGAGCATCACTCACTGTTAATCATCTTGTAAAACTTATTTAGACGACTACATCTTGCAGCACCACGTCACCTAGAAATGTGACACATATGCTTAACTGATTTCAATTACTTATGATCGCTATGTCTCAATGAAATATCATTCCGTCTTATACTAAACTGACACTTGCAACTAGCTTGTATGTACCATCAGCCGATGGGTATGGTTATAAATAAATAGTCTTTGGCGACGCAGAACATTGGTCTACAGCATGTCTCTTACGAGTACACTCATGTTTAACGAATTACTGTAACTATCTGTCCAAAATTCACATAGTTATTACCTTTCGCCTATTTAAAAATTTTGATAACAGTTCACATGTATTAGTTGTATTACTAAATTCTATCACGGTCAAGTAAAAATGAGGTCGAGAACGTCTCCCCATAACTAAATAAACCGTATCAAACTAACTGGAACACTAGTTGGAATCCTCCGCGGTTACACTTTTGTTCTTTCAGTTAGCTTACTAATACAGATGCAATTGGAAATCAAAACATGGACAACTTACCGGCACATACGTTATTTGATTTCATAATTTAGACCAAATATAATACCACTTTTAACATTTCTCTAATATTGGTTGTTTTTAATATTCCTAAACAGGAAATGTTATTAACCTACGAATATCACTACGTATCTTACGGCAATTTATTAAAATATACTTATACTGAATCATTTAATTATTTTTATAACCCCACTTTGTTTAGCTCAAATAATCTTTACCTAAATTTTCATTTTAAGTGTGTTAGGCATTAAACCAGATATTTTAAAATTATTACATGCATTTTTCAATCAGATTCTGCCGCCTTTTTGATTTATCTTCCAGCTTATCAATACCCGGTGGATTCTTATCATTCTTGGTAACCTCCGTCGTGCGACAATCCCATCCAATTTGGTATCGAACCAACATCACGTTGATTCTGGTGGGAGAGTAGTGTACTGTCATTGGATCATAACCACACAATCCTCAAAGTTGAACACGAAACTACTCGGAAAATAGATATTCAATATTTAGCGCGGAGAAATACCTAACAATGGACAAGGCGGGGATAATAATTTTGAATAAGTTGGAGTTGACCGTATGGCATGGCTTGGCCATGCAGGCGTGGTCCCTGCTTAATGTTACGTTATGTCTTTTATTCATATTAAATATATTGTTCCATCTCTAACCTAAGATTGTTCTATATCATGTATTGGTAATTGTTACGACGCAGTGAGTTGGTGTAGATGACGATGTGATTTCCACGTAAGATCTTATAGATTAGGCAGTTATATCATGACAAATCTACAATTTTAGGATTAGGTCTATTATTAGAGCAGTACAAATATCATAGTAGACCATAATTCTACAGAACATCTCATATTCCCCTTGATGTGAAAATTAGGAAATGTCGTTCGGGTTCAATAAGACTTACATCGAGAAAATCATCAAACTACATAATGAGGCAATTGCTAACTTCTGGTCCTGAAGTTGGACGGAGGAGACGAAGGTGAAAGAACACATTGCGTTGGTAATCGGAAGTCGACATGAAAAGGATAAATAGCAACTAGAAAGGAATTTCCAGTACAGTTGAATGGCGAGTGCTGGTGAGCTGCGTATTCTCCTCTACTAGGGGTAACAGGCGTAAGTATATAGAAATATATAAATTCGTGTAATCGGATATGATTAACATTTAATAGGGGAGTTTGATTGGGCCGTATGTTTCTCAAACATTTATCTTAAAATTTTGCTGTTAAAAAGTTTCTCAAACTAGACAACATTTTGCAGTTTACTTCGGACATGTACCATGACTTTTAGGCGTAACCGCGTATCTGCAAACTAAATCCTACTTATGTCCTCGAAATTCTTTTCAAGTAATCCATCTTTTTAAACACACACATCTTTAACGGTGAACATTCACCTTCAGGATAAGTTATCATTCGCAGCCAAGGTACTCTAAACCAAGTAGGTTAGAACAGGTAATGAAGATTTACTGTTGATACATCTACTGAATTAGAACTTTTAATCACATCAGAATATTATAATTTCAAAGTCCTCAATTCGTCACACAAAATTTTTTACCCATGTGTTTAAGCAAACACCAAGGTCATTGCAAAACAACCCTGCTTACTTCGTAAGAACAAATGCGTGTGCGTGCGAGCGAACAACTCCTTAAGCTAGTTTTGAACGTGTTTCTCTTGACGTTGCAATGTCTATAAGATAGTCAAATAGACCTTCTCTCCTAAAATTTATTATTCGTTTCACAAGAACATTGCTACTGAGACAGTCACGCTCTCTTTCGTTCATCGCTGGATTTCGAATCCTAGTTGCACAAAATCCAACATGATAGACCGTGGAATGGACGACTCCACGCTCTTAGTAGAGTGACTCCACTGGTAGTTGAAACCTTCCCCTTCGGAAGTCCATGTCTTATTTATAAGTCAACATCGGATTGTGCACAGAGACAATCTGTTTTTAATATACATGTAGGCTCATTAGGTCAAAGCTCGTCTGTTGGAAAGTATTTGGAAGCGTAGCCCTTAGTTTATTAGTTTATCACAAATACAGTATTCAGAATAAAAAATATGTACTGTTGATGGTTTATTTCTCTAAGAATTCGATGATTCTTTTCCTTAAGTAGGACGGTGTTCAAATTTGCTGTTTTGTATTGTCAAGGTTGCTTTATTTCTTCAAGGTCGTTGATCATCTGTTCAACGATGACATTTTTGAGTGTCCCGCTAAAATTGTCTACTGAAGTTGACATTATAACACCACTAAAAAAGTTCATAACTGGAAAGTTTGGGGATGCTGTTGCTACACAATGTGTTGAATCCCTAAAAAAGCTCAGTGTGTTTCGCCACGATGCCTGCTTTGGACATGGTGATGATCTAGGCAGTCGAATTCAGTCACTTGCGTTGTGAGTTTTCAATTAATTTGTTCACGTCTTTTTGTGTAGTTCGGCTTATATTACAATGATTTCTACGTTTTGATCAACATGTTTACTACGTCACTTAAGTGACGTACAGAATTCTGTACAATCCCATTGGTTTACTGTCTTTATATATATATATATATATATATATATATATATATATATGGTTGAAGCTAACAATTTTTAAAAAAATAGATTTATCGATGGTCTCAATTTCTTGATATCAGAGGCTCTATAAGTCTACTAATTTTGAGTGTTGGGACTTTGGTTTATCACATGTTCGTCTATCATCCATGTAAAATTAGGGTCGAGGACTATATGTTTTTCATACCTATACTGGTTGCTAAAGCTGTAGTAGCTAACACTAATACTTCGGGTTCAAAATGTGTAAAATCGTCTCCCCGAATTGCTACTGTTTTCAATTTATTCGAGTATAACTTTTGTATCAGTATTGTACCGGTTAACTTTGTTTAACTATAGCGAACCGCTTTTCCTCATCTTCAGTGATCGAAACTTCAACCTGATTGGATGATCTTTTTGTGTTCAAATGTTCTTGTAGTGATGGAAATCTCCACACTTTTATAACTGTCCAGTTAATGGCAGATTTTGGATGAGACCAATAATTTATAGTCGGTCATTGGTCAATTCTTACGTCAAGTTTGTTGATTACTAACATACGATGATTGGATGTTCTGATAAAAGTACCTCAAATACTCACTGCAATCATGTTCTGTTTGTTCACTCACTTATGACTTTTTGAAACTTATCCTATTCAAGATTTATGTACCAGAGTTCGACCCTTAAGTATTTGCTCTTCAAATTATTCTGAACTGTAAACTTTGATGTGATTAGAACGTTTGTTGACATAGTGACATACATTCATTCGTCTTCGTTTATATTCATCATTTATACAGATATCATAATGTATTATGGAGTTTAGAAAAGCGACTAAATACATCAGAAGATCTAGGTATCCATTGGACCTGGAGTGATATATGGCACAAAAATTATTCAAGTAAATTTGTCGCTTCTCTGAATTGTTGTAACACTTCTTTTAGAACACTACTCCTTCAACTTCGAGCAAGTAAATATAATCTTTTGCTATGCTGCTGCTCATTCCAATTTGGCTAAAACATACGATTTAAACTGTGAAAATTCGTTAATGAAGGCTATCTCAAGCTACAAGGTAGATTGTTGAAATTTACTACATACATTTAATCAATCCTTGTTTGTTTATGTGCATATAGCTCATTTATACCCATGGTTTTTACTGAGTATCTTTTAGTGCTAATCATTGACACATACACTAGGAAGTCGAATGAAATATGTATTAAGTTTATCAAACATTTTAAAAGAGCATCTTTCGTAAAATCGCGTATATCAGGAAACACATAATTCGCTCATTATATTTTGTTGTCCTTATGCACGGTGGATATTCATAGAAAAATACTGTAATGACTTCTATGAATGAGAAGTGAGCAGCAAGAAGTGTTTTGTACGTCTGATTGTTTTATTGTCTGTGTTTAGTCTACTTTTAAAACAACTGACTACAGGTATGTGTAACCTTACAGCGCCTATTAAACTGATTTTGGGGAGATTTTAACTACTTACTTTACCATATTATTATTTATGAGATGGTATATTTTACTAAAAAGTTAGTTGCAGTATTTCATGTCTTGTGTTTAAGATTCTTCACTGTAATGGAAAAAAATTGATGTTGAGTGACAGGATCATCATTATCCTGGATCGAAAGTACATCTCCAGTTCTTTAGAAGTCTACATGGTATACATAAAGCTTTTATTTTTTAACCATTTTGAATCTACCACCAACCAGTAGTTACCTAGACTTGTTTCGGCAAAGGATTCTAGAATTAACAAATTCATGAATGAACATTAGTCCAGTCACTGTAAATCATTCACCAGAAAAGTCTTAATGGCTTTCACTGTATGTAATTGATTGTGTCTCGAACTCAATCAAGTGAACGGTGGTGTAATCCAGAGATATAGCAAACGAACCACGATAATAATTTAGATACACAACCAGAATTGTCATTATGGGGGTTTGTGGAGATTGTAGTATTTCAGAAGTTGGATTTATGAGTCAATCCAAGCTGGACCACCATTAAGAACTTGGAGGCACTGGACGGCCGTTTCGTCTTAGTACAAGACTCCTCAGCAGTGCGCATCCATGGTCCCACACAAGGGACTCGAACGCACAACTTTCGGTCAAACGCGCGAACAGTTATTCACCTCAGATTAATGGATGAATGGTTGTGCAAGGTCATGAGTCGATTTAAGTCGGCCATTAACACCGTTGGATACCAGCTCAGCGGCCTAAAATTTTAGCGTGTGAGACCGAAAGTCATGCGTTCGAGTCCCTCACGCGGGATCGTGGATGCGCACTGCTGAGGAATCCCATACTGAGACGAAACCGCCCTCCAGCTATTCCGGGTTTTCGTTGGCAGTCTGGCTTAGATTGGCTCATGAATTCAACTGTTAAAATACTACCAGAATTATAAAAAGATATCGTTGTTGTTGGTAATAGGTTGTCGATATTTATTTATTTATTTATTTTAACACATAGATATTGGTACAAGGAGGTACCAAATACATATGCGCCACACAAATCTCAATTTATATGTATGAGGGCTGTGATACTGCTGGGTGGCCAAACCGAAGCAGGTGGTTCTCTTAGGGGGTCACACCCCGAGCCTTCGATCTTAATGTCTGACCCACAAGGCAGTGGAGCATCGTGAGGAGATGCAGTCCCATGGTAGCCGGTGACCAACTATTGGTTCATGCGCCATTTGTTCCTTCAGGATACTGGAGCCGGCCCATGTACACCATTGGTTTGGGATCCGGTTATAGCGCCGGACATTCGTTGTTCGTCCTCTGATTTTCGTAAACAACAGTAATGCCACGAGAAGGCATTGAGTAGGACTTCCCTGGCAGAGGCTATATACGCGTGTCCATGTGAGAGCATTTCGAGGGGGAGAGCGGACTCTCCCCACTCTCGGCCGTACCAGGGCATTTTGGGGCTGTAAGTGTAATTTTGAGGGAACTGATGCTCCCTGATGATTTCGATCCCGTGTCACCCAGCCTTACAGTCAGAGCGTTACCACTGAGCTATCCGGGCCCGGATAGCTCAGTGGTGGCCCGGCTTCCGATAACCGCGTACTGAACGAGAACGCAAATGGCTAAGGCCAATTTTTGTTTAATGCACAATCACACAGTGGTTTAGTAAAATTTTAAAATCATATCTTATTTGATTTGTCTTTTACAAGATTTATTGTTCCTTCATTCCTGTTGTTATCTTGATTGCCTTCAGTTTCCTTCTCTATTCTCTTCATTTCGATCTTCCAAATCTGCTCGCAGACATTCCACTTCCAACTGGTCGTACGTACCACTTATATTTGCAAATATAAGTAGCATACACCACAATAGTACACTAGATAAGATGTGTCCTGGGAACGTTACCGATACAAAATCTAATAAACGCTTATGTTCGTGTTTAAAATTCTTTTTTAGAATCTAACCTTGTAATCAGGAGAACTGTTAGAAGAAAAAATGTATCTCACAGTGTAGTAAATAATCAATAAGTACGCTTAAGGGAATGCGATTGCTTCTTTCTTAGGTAATCTGAAAAAATGATCAATAGTTCACCTAATATGTTCATACACTAATTATAAATGACTTGAAACTTCGATGTAAATTGTACATCCACACATTTCTAGTCATCTAAAAAGTGAATTTGATTCACGAGTAATTTCTGTACATGAAAGAAGTTCAGTGCAGATTTTGATTATTTACAGTAAACGCTGATGCACGTTGGTTTTCATTTCTCATATCGGTGGTATAAAGAATTTGTTCAACGAACAACATACGCCTAGTGTGAGAATGTACTCATGAACATCATGTTTTTACTTGCCAATTAGGAAGTTAAAGGGTGATAGAAGAAGTCTAGTCCTCATGTGCTAGGGAATTTCAAGTTTTTGCATTCAGTACGTAACGTTTAAAAAAAAGCAGTTCACAGTATCAAGCAACACAATTGAAAATTGGTCTCGTTTTTCTTGTATCCAGTCTTTTTTTCCCAGTTTTTAAGTTTCGGTTTTGATTTTTGTTTTGTGCCAACCGGAACACTGAGCTTTTCTATCAATGAATGAGTTAATCTAACTTCATTTTTTTCACAAGCATTTCATTCTATCATTTTATTTATATTGGCATATTTAGAAAATATAAACTATATTTCTAGGTAGCAGCTGAGGCATTCGATTATCTTGCATCACATACGGAGCAATCTTCCAATGATATGACTCAAGAGGTACTATCTGTATTCAGCGATGTTATGATTGCACAAGCGAATGAATGCAACTTTCTTCGACTTCGAAACGGTAATCAGTTTGCTCATGTTCCTCTTTGAAATTATTATAAAATTTCCTAAGGACTTTTGTAGGAAAATCCTACAATCGGATAGTATGTCTAAAATCAGCATCATAACCAAATTGTATCTTTTAATTTTTTCCGTCTTGTAAAAATATTTCCAGGTGGTGCTTTAATTTTGATGGCGCTCATTTTGTCCTACGTTCCTAAATTTAACACAGTTTCTATAAATAAATTTCAAGTTGTAAGAAAATGTCACCGTAAAACTGACAAATAAACTCAGTGGTGTAGAAATTCCTACCTAATTGCGTTACAAAAACATTCATTTGACAAAGAGTAGTTAACCTCGTAGATTATCTGTTTGCTTATCTTGTATAGTCATTCAGTTGTTCATACTTCGTCACTTAAAGTCGATTTTTCTATTAGAACTATTGTGGGTAAATAGTGGTCACAGTTTCAACTTAGCAATCACTTCTAGGTTGAATCACTAATTATTTTCATTCAGTGAGACATTATTTCTTTGTACGTTAGAGTCTGACCGTCAAAGAATTCGGAATACATAGGTTTTTATTCACCTATCTAGTTTAAATCCCTCGCAAATTTCACATCTCTGCTAACAAATTTTGAAAGCAGTTGGCTAGTAGAGGTTTGCATAATATGAATTAACGATTTTGCATATCTTAGAAGAACTGTTCGTGATACTGAATAAATCGTGAGTTAAAATATCATTCCATTTACGTTTGTGACAAAATAAGCATGCTTTGTCCCATTATTCTGGTGTGTGATATTTCAGTGGTTAAATGATTTAAAGTTCAACCATTACTTCCCAGGTTCGAATCCGTCCTACGTTACGACTCGGGTAACTGGTTGTCATCACTAGTCGTCACACAGTATGTAGCTCGAGGCCTAGTAAATAATTGCGCAATCGACAAATGATTTATACTATTTATTTCTGTATTTTGCAAGAGTTTTATAAGAACTCCTGACCGTTACTGCTACCTTGACGTAGTGGTCGGGCTTGCCTATTGTGGTGATCCAATCGGGCTATACTGGCTGGAAAAATCCTTCCTCGAGGCACTACCATGCCAAATAGATCGTTTAAAGAACGGTAAAACTAAAAACGGAGAACCCAAGGTCTGAGGGCGAAGTCGTATTGCTGACTATACAGAAGTGTGACGGTAGTAAGGTGTTTCCTTCAGACAACCAGCATAAAGGCGTGCTGTCTTCCCACAAGGAAGGGTGAGGTTATAAAAGGTCGACCCTCAAAATGCACACCTCGCCTTATCTCACGGATATCTCAACAAGTACGGAGCCAGCACGAAAATTACCCACAAAAAGGTCATGTTTGATTGGCGTCAAGCCGTTGTCTGTTTGGCACTGCGTTCGCGCTTTCAGGTCACTGAGGTCAGCTATAACCCAATTTCATTTTCAGGTATTTTCAGAAGAACCCTTCCATAATGTAGGCAACTAGGAAGTGAGAACTGCCCTCATACCTCTAACAACACTGAAGTCGCTAATTAAAATGACGGCTCATTGTTCGACCCAACATTATTAGGAATATTCAAGCTATGCATCCACTCTCTTAGGTCTTTTAGTCTATAACATTCATTGAGTTTCATTTTAATGTTTACTTATAAAATAATTTTCTTTGATATGGGCATCCTTAAATATTAGTCTCCTGTATACCTGTAGGAACACTAATTCATCCTGTCTACTATCACATTCCTCGTTTTCTGAACTTTCTTAATTCCTTTATCACTTTTTTCTTTCAATTTTCACGGGCCTAGTGTTATAGTATTGTTAAAACTAATTTCAAAAAGGGGTACACTCAATTAAAACTTCGGTCTGTAATTGTTCTAACATAATGATCCTTCTTCAGCTTATTCTTAACTAACCGAAAAGTTGAAGATTGTGTTTTTTTTTAATTGTACTATGATTATAAGTGAATACATTTCTAAAGAAATGTCACTTGATTGTGTTTCGACAATATGTTCCTCTAGAGAAAGACAAATGCTCCGAACTGCATTTATGTTTTCTATAGGTTTCACATTAGACTGACATTTAGAATAGATTAGTTCTCAATGTTTTATAGCTTTCAAGCCTATTTTTTCTTCATCATAACTAGTATTTTTTCTACAAAACGCATCTTAATATCTGTAAAACTAGTAAATGTTTAAGAAAGCAAAGTATTCACTGATCTCTTATTATTTCTTTTGAACTCCACTTAAGATGAACCTGAATATCGACGTATTGTTAACCACATTAATAAATTATATAAAAAGTGTTTGGATTCATTTTCCATAATATCCAGTTGTCTTCAAGATGAAGATATCATTAAATCTGTACCAGAGGTATGTTTATTCATTTTTTACACTATTATTATTATTATTATTTATTTAGGACTGGTATCGTGTTATTAAAACTAAACAAAATTATTACAGCATTCTGGCTACCACTTATTTAGGTGAAGAGAAGCTAAGGCGTAAAAAGGACACCAAGGTAATAATTTCAATGAATTATGTTGTTTAAAAAAATGAAGCCGCAAGTTTCTGAAGTTTATCATATTAATATTCTTGTTTATTTTAAAGTCATGGATAATTACGAACTTTTATTTATTTATTTTTTTTTGCTGTTTGTATTGATTTTTAAAAAAATTTAGCATCAAATTGTTTATTTTTAAAGTTTGTAAATAAAAATAAATTATTATTTAAAATTGTTTCCACTTTAATAATGTACTACCTGAAAACACTACTTGAACTCATGTGTTCAGATGGAAATTAATGATTTTTTTTCTGATCAAAAACTTCATAGTCATTTTTCTGTTTATTTATCTCTCTAGAACATGGTCTTTAAAGGATGGGAACATGCATAAGTTATTAGTGTTCGGTCGTTGATGCCTTGAGAGTGTTGGATTAGAGATACTGACCTAGTAATGTCAAAGTTAGGCTTAGAGTACAAGATAAGGATAACAGATAGTTTGATGAGGCTGTGAATGTTCATTGACCAAAGTGATCGGGACACACTTTACACATTCCTAGCCTGCCTCCATATAGACATGAATATTAATTGGAGTTTAAGTGGGTCAAAATAGATATAAGGGCCACCAAACTAAAACATATTATTAGTCCATACAGTCAGTAACCGTTGGCTTGAATCATGTCAGGAGGTGTTAACTTCTTGTTTTGGATTTGTAAAATCATCGTAATCCATGGTTAGAGACTTTGGATGAAATACTTAGAAGTATTGCTAATGTATTAATTCTTTATCATCTTCTAAAGTTTTAACTATAATTTGATTTCGTACATATTGTTCCTACCCGTAGCAGCAAAGGTAGTAGTAGTATGTGGTGATAGAGAAGATTAAGCACCCAAAATGCAATACTAGGGAAAAATACAAACTAGAGAGACAAAAAATATTATAAGGACTTCAGGAGCTTGGAATCTGGGGGAAGACCAATAATGGATGTATCTGCACCATTGCGAACGATTTTGAGCCACATCATTCAAAGTCTACGATAATCATGCTAATCTCACTCTAGTTCTCTATACATACTATAACATGGCTTAGTCCACTTGTCAATAACTCCATAGACTGGTGCTATTTTTTTCCGGCTACCCGTAACTTCCTTCTGGCCTACTCTCACACCATACATAGCCCGTCGAGGCAATCTGTGGTTGAGCATATGTAACTTATATCTTAACTGCTCCAGTTGGTGAAGACGTACTATCTCGCCAATCGATTTGCCTCTCGCGACTCATCCAGAATCAGTTTCTTTTTGTTATGAATTGGTTCAGATATAGTAAACGTATAGTTAAATATCAGTTTTCTAAATACATTAAATAAGTAATTCGGTATCAAGTATCGATTATTCGCCTTAAAGGCTTGTTAGCACCGAAGCTTTGTTTAAGTGTTGCACTGTACTTTGTCGAATACCATATCCATTTTACACTTAGTATGGATGTCTTTATTCACTGAGCCTGCCTAGTGTATAATCTAAGTTCAAAATAGCTATCGTTAAAACTTTTAAAATTTTCCATTTCTATTTATTTCTGCGCAACAGGAATCTAGCACACTCTTGGTCTCTAAATTCACACGCAGTCTTTCTTCTCGTCGTTGGTCTGAAACATTTCAAACTGTTAATGAGAGTGAAATAGTTAGTGAATCACAACCTGCTTCTGTCTTAACAAACGATATTATAACAAAAGAAATGTTTCAAATACCCTTACTTCCTTGTGATTCAGGAGATATTTTTGAAATGTTGGTCCCATTTCCGGTCCTTGAAGCCCTTATTATAGCAAATGATACTCGGACTGCAATCATCAATTCAGAATTTGCTAAATTGAAAAATGCTGATACGGTTCTTGAAAGGTAGACAATTATTCTGATTTACCACTTTTCAAGTAACCAGTATGTTTATATTGACAGTGGTCTTATTATTTTGTGTATGATAAGATGTGTTGAACCTAGTGGTATAATAAATTCCTTTAGTAAAGTAGACCATTGTTATCGTGAACGGTCATGTTGAACACGGAGTCCGCTTCAGATTGATGATTATCCTGAGAAAAAATTAATAGCAACTTCCCATGTATATTCTAAGTTCTAATACTGATTTCTTTGCAAATATCTAACTAATAAAGTACGGAATATAAAATTTCCACTACATTTTGTTGTCAATTTACCATTATAGTCGCAACTGATTATGCTCCTTTGAATCTTTACATTTTTAAAACAAATACTGGTACAAGGCTTAATCAACAGAATACATGGTCAAGTAAGAAACTCAGGTATTTCAAGGAACCCCAATCCGATGTAGAATCGATAGACGAATTTATCCTTCCAGGTCTTCTGTAACAGGAAGTCACTTACCGTGGACAAATACACCATACTAATTTCTTGTATGTTGTACTGTTAGATAGTTTCTCAAAATTTTGCATTTATTCTTTAACACTTTAACACTCATTCTCTTCGTTTCAAATACCAGTAAACGTATGAAAGTTTAAGCAAACCAGTTTTCCAATTGCCTTGAAACTGTTACGCTGCAAGAGTAGGAAGCTATATGTACTTTGATGTTGGTGACTACAACACTTATCTCTCAATCCATTGGTCCCAGGTTTGAGGCAGCTTCAGTTGCTTCTCATGGAATGTCGGGTAGTTTCATCAGCCCTCACAAAAACTGTGACTTGAAGACAAGAAAATAAATATTTACTTAGTAAATGAAAAACAATATTTTCACCTACTAAGCGGTATAACTATTTTGTTTATTACAAACATCATCCTGATATTCACTCTCTTTAAAACCATTAGATAGATTTTTGATGCCATATGCTACAAATGTAGTGTTGTTCTCGTTATATTTCAGCAGAATCATGTAGTTTAAGCTAATTATCATCGGTTGTAAACAGTTGTTATAATTCTCTCTTTTACAGTTATAACCCAGCCATTCCTATTGCTTAGTATTCTCGGACACCAATTCACTCGACAAGTCCCCAAATCAGAACACGGTTGGACAGGAAAGAGATTGTATTCCAAATAACAAGGTTAGATTCTAGAGTCTTCTCCAAGTATCGACTAGAGCTGATTGGCTAATTCTTATCCAATCAGCGTGCGCCAACGCAAGCGTGCAATCAGCATGATTTAATCCAATCTATGTCCCGCTAACAACAGTAAAGACAAAATGAATAATGTATAATACAGTACCAAACTCTATTTTATGGTTACCTGTCAAGAATTACTGTGATTCAACTATGTTGTCTGCTACATGGTTGTTACTTATTGATTTATAACTCTGATAGATCAAACTTCTAATACTAAAATTACTGAACCATACAATCTAATTCAAGACTAATTTTTGTTCTTTTCATTATGAATCATTTGACAAAAATAAACGTTTGTTTTACTATCTAAATAACTTTCTATAAATAACAAGTGAATAAGTAGCACCGGAAATTTAAAATTATGCCAAATCAATTATTGTTGTTTTAATTTTTATCCTCTTATCCTCGAACCTACAGTCAGTCTAGGTTTGATAATAGCTTTTATGAAAAACAGTTTTCTTGTTGGTTTGTTTTTTAATTGACCCTCAAAAGTTATTTTGTTTTGTAACATTTCTATGAGATTAATATTTATCAATTTTTGCTTTGAACAATGTTTTCCACATTGTACTCATGTATTTTAATGCATTTATTCAGTAGTATTGTGAAACTATGTCAAACTATTAATCTATTAAGCCTAATTAGCTTCACTTGATTCGTCATTTTAATGTAATTTGAATTTAAGAAGAAAAATTTAAACATATTTTTCTTTATTATTATTATTATTTTGTTTGATTTCCTCAGTGAAATGAATCAACACAATTTTCCACGTTCATTGGAACTCAGTGTATTTCAACTGATTTGTGAACCATTATTAAAAGAATCTGTCAAGGTTCATCAATCTGGTGGAGTAGATAGTTTGAGACGTAAAGTTCACTCACTGAAGCCATTAGCTGGAGAACGATTCAAAACTCTTGGAGAGGTATTGATTTTATCCATTTTAAAAGTAAAAACTTTATTGTAATATTTTTTGTCTGTGGAATTGATGTTGTTGCGTATTTCAAACATCGAATATCGCTTTTTTTCGATGTTGAGTCTGTTGGTTTGGAGTAGATGTGATGTTACTTCATCGGGAAACTTCACTTAGGTGCTATAAACGTCTTTATTATAGTCCGAAAAATTTGTTCTTGTAAAATTTTATTTCAAGTGATAGAACTGTGATCATAATGCGCATGTAATCAATAAGTAGATCGATATGATGTGGCAGCCTGCTTGAACATCTGGGCTACCTGTCCCAACCATCTAGATATTTCAACAAGTTATCTAATTTTGTTTGTTTTAATACATCATTATGGCTATTAATCACATAACCTATTCAATTCAGGTGCGTTTCTGAAAAGTGTACAACCTTTCGTTGTACAAGTTACAAAAGGCCAATTAGAGATATCGTGGTTTCTGGCAATATGCAACGAAAAGAATGTACATTATTTAGATGTAGATTGACTGGACTACTAACTTCTGACTGACGATCACTCATTATTTATCGTCAGGATCGACCAAGAAGTAAAAAACGGAAACTTGTTGATATAGTTTGTGCTGAGAGTTCTATATTGTACCAAAAATCTAATATTGAATAAAGCTAATGATAATAAAAAATAATAACTGATCCAAATTAAACGTTTGATTTACTTTTAACGAGGTGAACTATGAAGTTATTTATAAGCAAAGATGGATAGTGGCTAGCAGTGGAATCCAGGACGCGCGTTTCGTCCTAGTTGGGACTCGTCAGCTGGTACGGTACTGAGTTCGAGTCCCGGAGTGAACATCAACTCTGAGATGCAGGTACATCCAGCTGACGAGTCCCAACTAGGACGAAACGCGCGTCCTGGATTCCACTGCTAGCCACTATCCATCTTTGCTTATAATGCTTGTAAATTAAGGCAATATCGAGGCATACGCACAGTATGCACATATGCCAATAAGAGACTGAACAATTTCAGTCCTAAACATCAATGGGAAGATTCAAATAAAACAATATCAAGTGTATCAAGTTATTTACATGAACAGATACAACTACAAATTTTAAAGTTCTTAATATGATTGTACATATGTGATAATTTTATGTTTTAATCAGGTCGACTCACTTTTGATATCCACATAAAGTATGATAAGTGGGATGCTTGTTTTTTCTGGTCTTATTGTGCTTGAAAAGTTGTTTATTGAATTGATAAGATTGAGTCATTCTACTGTTATACTTTAGCTTGGTACGCTGCAATGAAGATCTAAAAATACAGATTTATAGCTAGGAATGTACTACGATGTGATATTTGGTCATCATCCAACTCCGTCACACATTTTTCTAAGAGGGTTAGACTAGATTACGACTATCGTAAAATTCTTCTGCAAATATTGTCTTAAAGAATTCTCCTACTGTTAAGTGAACTACCAGAAAACCAGTTTTATGAAAATAACCATATTTCATTGGTTTCATGCAACACTATTATTGTATTCTTTCATGTAGGTATTAAAATAACGAAATAATCTAGTCGAAATGATTAATCACTTGCGTGCTTGTATGTTTCACCGTGGTAAAGCACTCAACAACCCTATTTAATACCAAATACTATAGTGTTTTGTAGCTAAAAACTTATGATCTGGAACTGTGAATATGTGAAAAGTCAGTCTACTTATTGGGATTTACAACTCGAGTGTTGGGGAGCGTGATTTTCATTCTTCTTTAGCGTGATGATGTGCTTAAACCAGTATCTATTTTCATCTATATTACTAATGAACAACTGGGTAAATAAGTATATCTATCTCTTCACTTTTAAAAGATGTAGCATGAGTCTTCTTAGTTCATTTGTGGACAGAATATCAGCTTGAATACCGAATGTATTCATGGTACTCACCAGCTCGCAAAGCATTGTTTAAGCAAAAATTCTAAGCGTTCATTCAGAACGGAGCGTACTGTGCAATAGTTTTATTACCCTTTTGCTTCACGGGCATAAAACTTGGTTGTTAAAAGTATAAGACATAGGAAGATCACAGATAACCTCATCACTTATGCCACAAAAATCTTAAATTTCTCACAAAGAATACTAGATCGCTTCTAGTAGACAGCAGATGTCAGTGAACTGTGCATAATAATTCTTTGAGTGTCTTTGTAAGGATCATGTTTGTGAGTCTCTGGATTTCGAGTGAAAATGAGTTCATGCAAATACATATATCAGGTATTGTTAATCATTAAAGGAATAATTTGTGTTTTACAATTATGATGTAAGAAAAATGTCGTTAGCAAGTATACTTATTTATGGTATTTAAATGTGATATGACTGGGTTTATTGACATGATAATAAAAGCAGATTTGTATGAATTGTAAACTAGCCCTAAGCAAGTACTATTGATCCCCGCAATATATCAATGAAAATTAGGAAAATCAGCATGCAACTATCCTCTGATTGCTACCAACTGTTATTCCGTATAAATACAGCTCTTCATATATACGTTTATAGCTGACTCGAAAATTGTTTGACGACTTATACGGATCAGTATGACTCCTGAATAAATTCACAAATAAAATTATACATACTGTGTAGCAGCATGTATCAAAATCTGGAATGGGAAAATTTCAGTTTCACTTATCAATGGATTAAAATGTTATCTTATAATTTAACCACTTCCTATCACTATGATGTTTATCAGATTCGTTATAATTATATATTTTACCAATAGTAGTGTTTTTGTTTTTCTCGTTCATACTTTGTTGATATTTTTTTTTTACATATTTGTTATCTTCTTTGGACTCCTGGGCTTCATGTATACTTATTTTAAAATCTTTTCTCTACATTAGATAGAAGAAATGCTACGTAAAGAGGAGAGCAATGATATTGCTTTCAGAACTGGTTATACCAATATTTTGTCTCGTGAACCATCGGAGAAACTGAATTCATGTTTTCGTGAAAAAGTTGACAAAATACGCTTGTCTGTTCAACTGGTACGTCATATATATATATATATATATCTTTGCTAATTGTCTCTTTTCACCTAACAAAACAATAGTATTCTTAAAAGGTTTTCTCCTCTACAATTGGAAAGAAATTCTAAAAATCAGTTTTAGTAAATTTATAATTAAAGGATAACTAGAATTAAAACATGTCTAGCATTTTATTGTTGAATATTATCTACTATTGTTTAACTAATAAATACAATGTAATCTAATAGAATAATTTTTTTTTAATTCATATTTTATTTTGATTCATATCTATTTGTATTTGAAAACATAGTTGACTGAATGGTTTTTTAATAGTTAAGATCAACAAGTCAGTTGAAGCTAGACTACTATGGAAAACCTGAAAACACTGGATGGCCGTTTCATCCTATTGTGGGATTCCTCAGCAGTGCGTATCCATGACCTCGCCCCCCCCCTGCGAGATTCAAACCCAAGACCTACTGGTTTCGCGCGCGGCCACTTAATCAGTAGACCACAATAGGACGAAACAGCCATCCAGTACTTCCAGGTTTTCCATGGTAGTCTAGCTTCAACTGACACATTGATCTTAACCATTGAAATTACTATAATATCCACAAAAATCTATCTGAATTGTTTTTGTCTGAATAAATAAATGTGTGTTGTTTATAAAAATAATCATCTATGATTAATTCTTAGTGTTTTCTATTTAATTCTTTAAATAAATTATTTTATATTATTTCATTCAAATATGTTATATATTGTATTGATGAAGAACACTGGTGAGGACAACCGAATTGTATTTAGCTCAAATTACAGAGTTAATTGGTAAAATAGAAAAACCATATATTAAATTGTTAATTTGCAAAATATCAATCCTTCATATCAAACTGTACTGTTCCTGTTGCAAATATCAATCCATTGACTGACATTTCATTGTTCATAAGTTTACATACAAATTCTATTGCGTTACCGCTCTTCCTTACTTGATCTTTTTCCATCTTCTGCTGCCAGCCATTACGTTTTTAACTCGCGTTATATACTACTTATTATATCAATATATGTAACGCTCACCACAATATCACTTTATATCATATTTCTATTGTACATTATCTTTGCCCCCAAATGCCCTGGTACGGCCGAGAAGGCGGAGAGTCCGCTCTCCCTCTCGAAATGCTCTCACATGGCCATGCGTATATAGCCTCTGCCAGGGAAGTCCTTCTCACTGCCTTCTCGTGGCGGAGGTGTTGTTTACAAAAATGAGAGGACGAAAAGCGAATGTGTGGCGCTTTAACCGGACCTCAAACCAATGGTGTACATGGGCCGGCTCCAGTATCCTGCGGGAACAAATGGCGTATGAACCAATTGTTGGGACTGCATCTCCTTACGATGCTTCACTGCCTTGTGGATCAGATCTTCAGGTCGAAGTCTCGGGGTGTGGCCCCCTAAGAAAACCACGTGGTTCGGTTTGGGCACCCGGGCAGTATCACAGCCCTCACACAAATCAAATGAGATTTGTGTGACGCATATGTATTTGGTGCCTTCGTATACCTATACTTATGTGTTAAAATAAAATAAATAAATAAATACATTATCTTTCATGATTGTTTATTATTTTTAGATTAGATTTTTTTTGTTTTTGTTTTTGTTGTTTATAGGTTTCTGAAAAAGATTATGATGTAATAGCATTATTTAAACAACATGAAATAAATTTTCAAACATTAGATATGTCTAATAATGAACTATTAGTATATATTCAATCAAATTTTGAACCTAAAGAAATTGAAATAATAGAAGATATTGAAAATTTACGTAAAGATTTAATACGTCTATGGGATGAACTTATTATAAATAAACATCAACGTAATGATGTTATAAAAATGTGGGATTTAGTTTGTTTACCACCAAATTTTGGTAAATAATCATTGATTTTGATTTTAATTTTATAATTTTTAATTATTGTAAATGTTTACATTAATTTAATTCATAATAAAATAGTGTTATATGTTAAGACGTGGACGGATTAGAGGACAGTGAATTATCGATCGGACCAAAGACACGTAAAACACGTAAGAACAGAAATAGAGTTCTGATTGGCCCTGCTTCCCTGTCTAGACCAGCCAGTTGAGTCCAGAACACAAGTCTCAGACTCTGCGATATAAATCATTATATATCAAACATACTCTGTTTATATCGCAATCAAACAGAATACATCGTACCATAAAATAGAAAATAACATTTGTGCAAGATTTGACCAATAGAAAAATGACACGTTGAATAAATATTGACCAACGGGAAAATGACACGTTGGATAAATATTAACCAATAGGAAAATGACATCATTTCACGTTCAGGGTTAGTATTCGACTTAACAGGATAATTTTTGGGATATTTTTCTGAATATCCCATCAAATAGAAAAAAAAAACTACATATTTACTTAATGTGTAAACGGTTTAGTGATGATGTTCAAATCAACAGTTGTTTACTTACTTGAATTGTGGTGCATTTTGATTGAATTTTAGTAACTTCTTAGACTAAAGATTTAACTCAATCTAAGATAAATAGTGTCATAAGTTTTGTAAGTCCAGAAGATACAGCTGTTTATTAAGAGTTTTCTACGCGAAATATTTCGGATCCGTTGGTCGGATACTATTAGCAACAACCTACTGTGGGAGTGAACAAACCAGACTCCAGCGGAGAAAGAAATCAGGAAGAAGCAATGGACACACATTGAGGAATGCACCCAACTGCGTCACAAGACAAGCCCTCACATGGAATCTTCAGGGCGAAAGGAAAAGAGGAAGACCAACGAACACATTACGCTGCGAAATGGAGATAGACAAGAGAAAAATGAACAAGAAATGGATGGAACTAGGAAAGAAGGGCCATGACAGAGTAGGTTGGAGAATGCTGGTCGGCGGCCTGTGCTCTATCTGGATAACAGGAGTAAGTATAAGTTCTGTAACCTGCTTCAGTTTGGGCACCCGGGAAGTATCACAGCCCTCACACATATCACATAAGATTTTTGTGGCGCATATGTATTTGGTGCCTCTTTGAACCAATATCTATGTGTTAAAATAATAAATAAGTTCTGTAAGTGATTGTTGGAAAGCTGTTAAAAATAAAATCTTGTGGTTAAATTAGTATTCATTATGAGGTATTTCCAATTGTTTACAAAAGCAATAACCCTTCATTATTAATTAACTAATTCAGCATTTTATACACGGTGTTAGAATGAATTTCAATATGAAAACCATTAATTTACAGTTACTATACTTTCATTGTGTATAAAGATTTTCTGCATGCTATTGAAGAACAACAGTTATTTTTTTAATATTTTACACCGTGCTTGTATTTAATTGGACTATGTTTAGAAAGTGCCTCGTTTATAGATCATCGTCACCAGAGATTGATACTAGCTATTCCTTGTAACTGATCCCAGTGAACTTATAAAATTAATTGGTGCCTATCAATCATAACTGGGTGGTAAATAGTGTACAGAGAGTAGAGAGCTCCAAACTTAGTCAGTGATAAAGATGTGACTAATGTGTTCTAGATGTTTAAAGTTCGTGTCTCACACCAATTTACTGCTCACTTTTGATCAAATGAATTCCTCCCTTAGTTTCAGCGTATGGAATATCTTCAGTTATATTTGAAGAAAGACTGAAACCCTATTAATAAAAACTTTATATTATTATGTTTTACCAGTGAGGTTATCATTTTAAGTGAATGTTTGACAAAAAATGTTTTGAAGAAACAAATTTTCGAATTTCCAGACAATATGAAAACATTCAGTCGTTTTAACTGGTTCTCATACTCACCACTAACTATTCGATAGATTTATGTGTGAGATGGTGGAGAAGATTTGTAGCTCAGGTGGGTGATTTTGACGGAGTTTTGTTCTCTGAGCTGGATGGTTTGGTCGTGGAGCTTTCGTCGTTCTTCTTAACGACATCATCAGCACAAACTTCAGATAGAAGTGAAGTGTTCGAATTTCTCCATATGCATTTCACAGCTTGTTCTGTACACCTCGATGTTGATTGGTTCCTATTGACCTTAAATTTGTCATTGTTTACTTTTTTGTTTTTGTTTTGTTTCCTAATGGTTTGATTCTCGTTCCTATATTTGTGGATCAGTTTCCTGATTGGTTGATAAATCGGATCGATTTCAATATGTTTGTTGATTGCTGATTGACCTGAGTGCCAGGCTTCTAAGAATTCCCTTGTGTTTTTAGAATTTCCTCTGTCCAAGATTTCCACATTTTTCCAATCGAATGTGTGTCCGTCGTTGTCCACATGTATTGATATAAGTGAGGAGATATCATGTTGTTTGACTGCTAATTGATGTTCATGTAGGCGCAGGGGAATTCTTAGAAGCCATTAGGAGACAAAACCAAAACAAAAAAGTAAACAATGACAAATTGAAGGTCAATAGGAACCAATCAACATCGAGGTGTACAGAACAAGCTGTGAAATGCATATGGAGAAATTCGAACACTTCACTTCTATCTGAAGTTTGTGCTGATGATGCAGTTAAGAAGAACGACGAAAGCTCCACGACCAAACCATCCAGCTCAGAGAACAAAACTCCATCAAGATTTATGTGTTTTCCATTATATAATCATTTATATCAATGGCAAACAGGTACGTCAATCTTGATTTGTCTTCTCATCTATTCACCACTGGAGATATAAGATAGTTCGAGGCATTAGAGGTCTAGACATTTCTCGTTGTTTAGTCATTCAGTCAAATAAATTCTTATTTATCTCAATAAAATTTGAAATAATTTTTTTTTTCACAATATTACTAATTAGTTCATACTCTAACAAAATGGTATCGTAGCCAAGGTGAAATAAATCATAACGAAGTAACATCTAAGACATTTCGTGATAAAGTTGACGCTGCACGAATATGTGTCAATCAAAATTTGGATGAACAACGAAATTTATTATCTCAACTACGAATTAAATGTGAACCATATTTTAATCAAATTCTTAAATATCGACAGCATAGTGTAATAGCGAATTTACAAGAAGCTTGTAAATTATTTTTAAGTATACGTAAAGATGTTGAGAAAAGTTTACATTGGCATTCAGAATTTGAAAAAATTTGCAATGAAGAACTACAGTTGGTAAGTTCTTTTTCTCATGTTTGATAATTATATTATTTATATATAACAACAATAGTAGTTGCTTTGCATTAGATATTGTCAATGACCAAACTATCGATTAACATAATTCTGTGTATGGAGATAACTTGTGACTGTTATGCATACCATTCGATCTGTAATGCTTACTATTATCATTAAAACATTGGTGAAACTTACAATATGGTTACTTGACACTTGATTGTTAGGAATGAAACAAAATTGGAAGTTCCCTGCTCAAAGTCAATCAGACAATTGAAGTTTATGGTATGAAGATTTAAATAATTACGCTTTAAACTTCTTTACAATTTTAGGGATCCCTAATGTGAAAATTAGAACAACACATAAGCGAACATTGATATTCCCAGTTAAATTGTGATCAGACTGTTAGCGGGATATAGATTAGATTAGAGTGTTTCGTGCAGCATTATGTCGGGGCGCTCTGATTGGTTATTTCTTAGCCAATCAGTACTAGCAGATACTTGGAGAAGATTCTAGAATCATCTTATATGAAAATTATAAATATACCAACGTTTTTTTATTGTGATTCCTACTTTCATTCAACCTTTTTATTTGGAATATAATTGCGTTCCTGTTCAACTGTCTTCTGATTTGGTGACTTAATGATTGAAGTTGTGTGCAAGAATACCAAGTAATAAGAGTAGTTGGGTCGTTAAAAGCGAAATGATAACAGACTTTACTCTAACATGTAGGGATATTTATATGCATACATGAAAATAATAAACCAGTTAAGGCAGTTTATGAGTCGATGCTCATTATACAGTGGATGGCATAACAACAAATAACAGGTAAAAAGTACAGATCGATTCATACGAAGATAGGCGTAATAATTTCGATAAGAAAAATGAAATAATCAAAGTTTTAATCACTATTTCAGTACAGGAAGTAGGTCGAACTTGTTTAAATATTAAGATATTGTGAGTATAGGGATTTTGCGGAGATTGTAGCAATTTTCATTGTTAAAATCACTATTGAGAACCCTGAAGTACTGGACGACCGTTTCGTCCTAGTATGAGGCTTTTGCAAGTGCGCATCCATAACCCTGATTATGGAAATCGAACCAAAGGACTCTAGTCTTGCTCACTGACGCTTGACCTCTAGACAACTAAACCGGCGTGATTTCAATCAAATCCAACAATCTTCAGAATCCCATATTGAGCACTACATTAGTGTTGATAATTCTTATTTCATTGAAAAATTGCAAGTTTTTTGGTTCATTGATTTGCGTATCACAGTTATGTACATTGTGCATGAAAGTCCTTTCATATTTAAATGTTTAGAGTTGTTTGTACATTTATTACATGTGACTTCACATACCACAAGTTAATCAGTATGGCGAACAGCTAACAAAGTAGTTCAATCGAAATCTAGTATCTCATCAAGATCTTGATTTCATGTCAAATTTTGAGGCACAATGATAACTACAGCGATTTTTTGATGCAATATAAATTAATGATCAATCGATCATAATGTAAACCTAAAACTAAGCTGTAAGCTCATCACATTGACAGTTTCCTTCATTCCTTAACTTTCTTGTAAAGTCAAACGGTTTTGTAGTTTGGTTATTATAAGTACTTTATTATGTTAAGTATGCTACCAGAAATTATCTATGAATGTTTCATTGGACCCTTATCTAGATTTATTCCTATCTGAATAAGACGAAGATGAAGAACGACATTTCCTCATCACTACTTAAGCATCTCTTGTCATAAATTTTCTGTTAATTATTATTCTGCTGTGTTTCTTCACTTGTATGGGAATATCGCAAGTATTGTGTTATGTAGGCTTTTTAGAGTGTACACTGTAAGTGCACAACTATTTAATATGCATAATTTTCAACTTTCTTTAAAATGTTCACGTCTCACTTTGTTTCTTTGATTCAATGATGTCATTACCAGTAGAGATTAACGATAAACAAACGAGTAGGTAATCTATTATATATACATATATGTTTTAATGTATTAAAATACTGAACAAGACGTGATTACACTTTTCACCTATGTACATTTTAGGTAAATGATTTCTGTTTGGCTCGTAGTGACGAAATTAATCAAATTATATCAGAAAATGAACAATGGGAATCTGTAACCCATGATTCAGTATCAAAAGATTGTGAGTTAATTTCACTGTCTTTAGAAAAAGCTCTTTAATAATACTCTATTTATTTATTTATTTTAACACATAAGTATAGGTACAGGAGGCACCAAATACATATGCGCCACACGAATCTCAATTGATTTGTGTGAGGGCTGTGATACTGCCCGGGTGCCCAAACCGAAGCAGGTGGTTTTCTTAGGGGGCCACACCCCGAGCCTTCGACCTGAACGTCTGATCCACAAGGCAGTGGAGCATCGTGAGGAGATGCAGTCCCATGGTAGCCGGTGACCAACAATTGGTTCATACGCCATTTGTTCCTTCAGGATACTGGAGCCGGCCCATGTGCACCATTGGTTTGGGATCCGGTTAAAGCGCCGAACATTCGCTTTTCGTCCTCTCATTTTTGTAAACAACAGTAATGCCACGAGAAGGCAGTGATTAGGACTTCCCTGGCAGAGGCTATATACGCATGGCCATGTGAGAGCATTTGGAGAGGGAGAGCGGACTCTCCCCACTCTCGGCCGTACCAGGGCATTTGGGGGCAGAAGGTCTTCGTTTAGAAGAATTATGACGCCTCATGATGAAAGCCGAGTTTCTTCGGAAGTCAGGAAAACAATGCCCCTTCTGACAACCAGAGCAACCATTTATCTAGGTACATGGAATGCCCGTACAATGTGGGAGACTGGGAGAGTTTTCCAAATTGCTGCAGAAATGAGGAGATACAACCTGGAGGCGCTTGGGATCAGCGAAACACATTGGACGCAAGTTGGACAACAACGACTAGCTTCAGGGGAGCTGCTGTTATACTCCGGGCATGAAGAAGAAAATGTCCCACATACATAAGGAGTTGGATTGATGCTATCCAAACAAACACAAAATGCACTTATAGGATGGGAATCTCATGGACCAAGGATCATCAAAGCCTCCTTCGAAACAAAGAAAGAGGGCATTTCAATGAACGTCATCCAATGCTACGCGCCTACCGACGACTACAATGAAGACGCTAAAGATCAATTCTACGATAGGCTGCAGTCAATCGTCGAGAAGTGCCCAACAAAGGACCTGACCATTCTGATGGGAGACCTAAATGCCAAGGTTGGAATTGACAACACCGGATATGAAGAGATCATGGGACGACACGGACTCGGAGAAAGAAACGAAAATGGTGAGAGATTTGCAAATCTATATGCCTTCAATAAACTGGTCATAGGAGGCACTATATTCTCATATAAACGCATACACAAAACCACATGAACTTCACCGGATCACACCACACAAAACCAAATCGACCATATCTGCATCAACAAAAAGTTCAGGAGGACGATGGAGGACGTGAGAACCAAGAGAGGAGCTGATATAGCATCAGATCATCACTTACTGGTCGTCAAGATGAAATCGAAACTCAAGAGGCACTGGACAACGGGGAGGACAATATCACAAAATTTTTATACGGCTCTTCGGAATAATGACAAACTCAACAAATTTAAGATAGCCCTCAGCAATAAGTTCCAGGCCTTTCATGATCTACTCAATGGAGAAGGAACTACTATGGAGAGTGAATGGACAAAGATAAAAGAGGCAATCACTTCAACATGTCATGAGGTTCTGGGCCAAAAGAAGCACCATCACGAGGATTGGATCACGGTCGATATACTGGATAAGATTCAAGAAAGGAGGAACAAGAAATCAGCACTCAATAACAGCCGAACAAGAGCAGAGAAAGCCAAGGCATAAGCTGAATACGCAAAAGTAAACAAGCAAGTGAAGAGGAGCATCAGAACCGCCAAACGTAAACATGTGAAAGATTTAGCAATGACGGCGGAAAAGGCTTCAAGAAAAGGGAACATGAGACAATTGTATGACACAACAAAGAAACTCTCTGGAAATCACCGTAAACCAGAACGACTTGTGATAAGCAAGGAAGGCAAGATAATCACCAACATTGAAGAACAACGGAACAGGTGAGTAGAACACTTCAAAAAACTCTTGAATCGACCAGCTCCACTGAACCCACCCAACATCGAAGCAGCACTCACGGACCTCCCAATCGATGTTGGCCCGCCAACAATTAAAGAAATCAGCATGGCCATCAGACAAATCAAGTGTGGCAAAGCAGCAGGACCAGACAGCATTCCAACAGAGACACTGAAAGCAGACGTAGCGGCAACTGTAAGGATACTCCAAACTCTCTTCAGAAAGATCTGGGATGAGGAACAGGTACCAAAAGACTGGAAAGAGGGACTTCTGGTCAAAATACCAAAGAAAGGCGATCTCAGCAACTGTGACAACTACAGGGGAATCACTCTTCTCTCAATACCAGGAAAAGTCTTCAACAGGGTATTGTTAAACAGGATGAAGGACTCCGTAGACGCACAACTTCGCGATCAACAAGCAGGATTCCGTAAGGGTAGATCGTGCACAGACCAAATCGCATCTCTACGGATCATTGTGAAACAATCCATTGAATGGAGTTCATCACTCTATATCAACTTCATTTACTACGAAAAAGCATTTGATAGCGTGAACAGAACAACCCTATGGAAGCTTCTTCGACACTACGGCGTGCCTGAGAAGATAGTCAATATCATACGGAATTCCTATGATGGATTAAACTGCAAAATCGTTCATGGAAGACAGTTGACAAAGTCATTCGAAGTAAAGACCGGTGTCAGGCAAGGTTGCTTACTCTCACACAGTGGAGGAAGAAATCAGTAAGAAGCGGTGGATGTGAATAGGACACATATTGAGGAAAGCACCGAACTGCGTCACAAGTCAAGCCCTCACATGGAATCCTCAGAGCCAAAAGAAAAGAGGAAGACCAACGAACGCATTACGCTGCGAAATGGAGATAGACATGAGAAAAATGAACAAGAATTTGATGGAACTAGAAAAGAAGGGCCATGACAGAGTGGGTTGGAGAATGCTGGTCGGCGGCCTATGCTCCATTGGGAGTAATTAGGTAAGTAAGTACTTTTAAACACAGAAAACTAGAGTTATTCGTTGCTATTTATAATTCTATAGATCTATGAAAAGACTAGTTTGAATCCCATTCAAAAAATAATCTACACGTATAAAAAACATTCGTTCTCATTATGAGGGATCTAAGCAAATGGAAAGATATATAATATGGGACCATCCATATTTACGTTACTCCAATCCCGCTATTATGATCAATCTTCAATCATAACATTTACAGCTTCCAAATATTTATCATATCTCATGAACAGCTACTGATTTTCGCACGATCCTACTTGATAGTTGATTTTTACAGGGATTGATTTCGACTTGTGTTTTCCAGTATAACCTTACTATAGCGGAAATTGTATTTTGTTGTAGAGAGTCAGTTAATACACTTATTATGTCATATATACCTTAGATGACATATGATCATGTTTTAATTGGTATACCTCCCTTAACTACAAGTTGGCAACCAATACACTGTTGGTGGTTTCATCACTTGTGGAAAATTCAGTAAATCGGTATGAGTATTCTACTTGGAAGTGATAAATCTTTAAAGATTCATTTTCTAGATTAAAAGAATACACTTTTCATAAATAATAGGTACATCTTCCTCTTGCTAAAAAATTCCCATTATTATCAAGTACATAATTAATATAAATGAAGAATATTCTTTTCAATGAATTTCTTATCAGGGACTCTATAATTATCTCATATCCAAATGAATAATCCATAGGAATTGGACAGATTTAAAGCAGAGTGCATCATTTGGAAATTGTAATATGTGAATTAAGAATTGTTGTTTGTCATATACAGAATCAAATCAGATTGTTAATGTTGGAGCTGACTAATATGAAGTTGCTAACTTGAATTAGTTTATAAGTGAAATAAAATTGTGTGGTAAATAATGATCAGAATAAATATGGTCAACATGGGGTGTGAGAGAGAATAATGTAATTACAAATCAGAAATGATGTAATATATAGAATAATATGAATCATGTCAGATATAGTAGATTTAGGGGTGGATATGGAATAAATTCCTCAAAACGGTTATCAAATGTAATAACAATAATAATAATAATGATAAGATAAAATTGGGACACAAAAATGAACATTAATCAAATTACGTCACCATATTATAAAATTGATTATTAACTAGTTGGTCAGGGTAAAAGGAGTGGCTGAACATACTTCTTTTGAATGCAAAGCTCTAGCTTTTTGATCCGAATAGCAATTGCTTCAGCCGTCTGTCTGATTCGCAGTCTGACAGAATTAGGTAGACATCTTCCTCTGCTTATTCGATATAACTACCACGATATTTAATTAGTTTTTCTTTATGTTACAGGAATTTATTCATCACCAATTATCATCATCATCATCATACTAAATCATCATTATACAAAATTATTTTCTGTTTTAATCTTTTCATTTGATTATCATTGAATTTTGCTCGGTTTTTTTTTGTTGTTCACATTTGATTCAGCCGTTACATAACTTTTTTTTAAAATACATATATACATTAAATTCCCTATCGATTGTTAGGGAACAAACAATACACGGTGACGTTTACCTATCAGCATTAACAAAAGATTTCTTTTTCTTTTTTGATAACATCATCTATGAATAATTTTAACTAGGTTATAATGAGCTATCATTTTTTTTCCAAAGAGATTTAAGTGGTCAATTTGTCTTATATTTTTATTTCATTTATCAATTACATTTACATTAATTCATTCGACCAGTGATCAGTAATGTTTGTTTCTTTTTCATTGTATGACTTAAACTAAGTCACTATATTCATATTTATATTTGCCAATATTATGAAACAGATTGTTTATTTTTTTTTTCCTTTCTAGTTTAAGCTAATTTTGATCGAAATAATTAACTTTCTTTTCTTTTTTTTTAATAAAACAAACAAACATTGTTTTTTGTGCATTGAATAATATATTTATATTTATACAGTTTGTCATTTATTTAAATTAAACACTCTATATTGAATTGAATAGATAAACTTATTAATGGGCCAAATTAAACACATAGATATTGGTACAAGGAAGGCACCAAATACATATGCGCCACACAAATCTCATATG